AAATAGCATCGCTTACAGCTGAGTCAATTCCCTTTGAGAGACTTCCAGAAGGACCTCACCCCCATACTTCATACAGATCAGAAACCAGTCATGTGGACACATCCAAGCATAAGGGAATAGGGGAATAGGAGTCTTTTATCCAGGTGCATTGTCATTTGTGAAAAAATGGGAGTTCTCTTATCGAGAAAGAAGGGGAGAAAGACAACATGCAGGCAACCAGCAGTGTCTGCCAGAGGGGAGACCTTCAGTTTTGATCAAGTTGAGATGAAGACATCTTGAGAAGAGGCAGGAGAGAAGGGTGGTTGGAGAGGTGTGAGTTGAAGTCTCCAGAACTGGTCATCATTCAGGTAAAGGATGTGGAGTAAAAAAAGAAGAGGGCCAAGTAGAGAATTGTGGAGTCACTCCAAACTCCATGGGCTAGTGGAGGAGGAGGAGCCATAAACATCAAACCCAAACAAACAAAAACAGAAGGGAAGCACAAGGAGAATTAAGTTGAATCCTACTGAATCACTTGGGGTCCAAAATAATGAGGAGATTTTTAGAGATCAATAACACTTTTCTGCCTTACCTGAATTCTGAACCAACTAGAAATGAGCATTGTAGATGTAGCCAAGTAGATACTGGCTACAGTGATGGAGAAAAATGCTCAGTTGCTTTGAGGGCCCAAATGAGAATGAAGATCATGAATTTATAGATGCAGAGGGGAGGAAGTAGACAGTTGAATTGGCTGAGGTTCTGCAGGTAGAGATAATGGAAAGAAAAAGGATAATGCCATGGTCTTGGCATAAAAATCTTTGGAGACTTTACAAAGACTGAAAAACGGAATCTAAACTTGCTTTGACATTCAAACCCTCCCTAATTCAGCTCAAGCCTGCTTTACCATCTCACCCCCACCACCCCACCTCCCTGCACTAGAATTGTTTACACCACCCTCCAGCCATCCTGGTCCCACTTTCTCTAAACTGCTGGATTTCCAGCTTCTGAGCTTTGGCCTCCTTCTGATTAGATGCCCTCCTAGTCATCAAAGGCCAACAAAAATTCCTCAGCCAGAATGAACTGTTCACCCCCTATTGGACTAGAATTGTCATTCTCAATCCTCTCCCCTTTCTTGGCTAAGTCGCTCGACACACCACCAACCAGAAGAGGCAAGCTCCTTGGGCATAAATGATTGGATTGGTAGAGTCCTTTCTGGGTTTCTCTCCCAGTGCTTGATATTGAAACAGTAGGACACATTAGGCACCAGGAACATAGGATCCTCTAGATTTGGGTGCAGAGCTGGTGTCTTCCTAAGCTGTCTACATGCTGAGGCTATGGGGCAGTTGGGACCAAGAGCCTTGTGGAGGAAAATGGTGAAGACTTGCAGAGAGGTGTAGCAACAAGTACTGGGTAGGTGGGGCCAGAGAAAACGAGCTAGAGAAACAGCCCTCTCTGCCCTGGGTTTCTGAGAGAGTCCCGCAAGAGCTGAGCACCTTGCAGCTGAGTTCCTGGGGCTTCCCCAGTATTGTTAACATGAATCCAACTTCAGTCAAGTGAGCTTGGGGCAGTTTCTCTTCCTTGTGATTTACTCTCCCCATCCCAGAACTGGTAAGGCTCTATTCTGACAGTGCACTGGGTACCATCTCTTCACATCAGTTATGTAGGTGTGTGTCTGCTTCCACCGGGCCCTGGCAGCCCTGAGAGCTGGGACTCTGGGACTCCGGGACCCTGTCCGACTCATTCCAGACCCCAAACCGGGCACACACTGGATGCTGAAGCATAGTCACTGAATTCTGTGACAGTTCACAGAATGGTGTGATGTATCATTTGTTAGACAATCATTCTAAATTCTCTCTGCTTCCCCCCATTTTGTGATATTTGAGTCATTTTACATCATTTTTATCAAATTCATATTTTATGCTACTCACAAACTCTCCATATTCACCTGCTTTGGCTTTCTCATCCTGTTTGGTGGTCAATATAAAGGATTCAGACTTGAACAGCAAAAGTGGTCCATATCTCTCTAGTTGGTGAGGATGCTAGTCTTAGAAGCATCCCATCTTGCAGGATTCAGCCGCCTTTACCCATGAAATGGATACTTCCCATGAAGTCTATTGGGGCAGCTTAATTTCAATGATGTCATTTAAAACTCATTAAAAGGTCAGCAGGCAGGCTAAATGCAACTTCTTTCTTCAAAAACCTACTCAGAATCATAGATTTTCAGAGCAGGGGCCAAAGGTTCTTAGACTTTTGAGTTTCTATGAACTGGGATTGATTTTTTTTAAAAGGTTGCTGAATTTATGTTCTTCCAGGGAATTCCATTACAAAAAATAAGCTTCTATTAGCACAACATCACCTCCTGCGAGGCACAGGACAGCCCCCATAGTAGAGGATCTTCTCGCTCCAAACAGCGATATTGCAGAGGTTAAGAAACCCTGGGTTGGCTAAATGACCTAGCAAAATAAAAGGCAAAAGAAACAAAGGTCCCAAGCTGGTAAACCTTTGCAGGGCGCAACATAGAGTGGGCTGGCCAAGTAGGTTGTGATGGGGTCAGCCAGTCAGGGGCAAGACTCAATACCCCAGACCTGGATAAGGCCAACACTTATGGACATTTTGATGTTGTTGTTGTTGTTAGAGAGAGAGAGAGAACACAAGAGCACACACACACAGTGGGGGAGGGGCAGAGGGAGAAGGAGAGAGAGAATCTTAAGCAGGCTCCACATCCAGCGCAGAGTCCCATGATCTCCCAACGCAATCATGACCTGAGCAGAAATCAAGAGCAGGGACACTTAACCAACTGAACCACCCAGGCACCCCAAACATTTTGATTTTTAAAAGGAATAAGGCACATAAGATGTTTAACACTGCGCCTGGTACATAGACTGTTCTCTAAAAATATTTTTATTTATGATAACACCGTAATTAATAAAATCATTAGAGGTGTTTAGTAAGTGTTAGCCATTTTAACACCAGGGAAACATTTTTTTATCTTCCCAAAAGGTATGCTGAGCTCTTTCATGGATTTGGAGTGACAAGTTTTGCTGGGGAATGGAGGGACTCTTTATAATGGATTGAGAAGATTCACGATTTCCAGAGGCAATCTGAGGGGTGAGAAGGGGAAAGGAAGATGGGAGAGGAGGGAGGAGCCTGTGAGATAGAGTGCCACACCGTGGCACATGAGTTATGAATAAGGTTTTTGGGTCAAAACTGAGATAAAGTCTACAATTCCCATTTGGGTTGAAACCATGTAGAACTGAGACGGCAGTCCTGAAGCAGGAGCCAGGAGTCAAAGGCAATCACAAGTAAAGACATTGCCGGAGTTCCCAGAAAACATAACAGGGACTTGGACTTCCATAATATGTGGAATATGGGGTTTAAGTCCTGCTCCTCAGCCAGCACCTGTCTGACATTCTCCCAGTAAAGGAGCCATTCTGGTCTCACCTGGACAGGAGTAAGGCCTGGTTCCAAAGTTCTGTGCCTGCTCCAGCTGGGTTAAAATGGGATGCAACTCTGTCTTTGTTCTAGAATCACCCAGATTTGAGACGATCGCTAGCTTGAAGATCTTCCAGGGCCAGAGAGAGAGGCGGTGCCCTGGCCCTTAGGGCCACCGAAAGTCCTCCTGACTTTTAAGTAGGGAACATCTGTCTGACCTCTGTAGGACTAGAGGTAGAATTGTTGTGGTGTCCAAGCGGCAAGAGCCACATAAGCATTTATGATGTAACAACCAAGTAGCCAGACGACATGAGAGTCAACACTGTTCTGGGCAAACTGGATTCATTAACTCTGTGGCTTTGGTTCAGGTGCTACCCTGTACAAAATCCCAAGTTCTTCCTGACCCTCCTCCCCAACTCACACTTTCTGTGCACCAGGGAACCAGTAAACCCCCTTTCAACTCTAGCAATTTCGTTGTCACGGTACAGATTAGTGACGAAGGGCTTGGGAGTTAGTTTTAGACCAGCCTCCACTGTGTGACCCTAGGCAACTTCTTTGCCTCTCTGTGCCAGTGTGTGCATCTGTAAAATGGGTGGGGGCTAAGTCTTCTAAGATGGACTTAGCACACACTGCAAGAGCTGGACGGTGAGCCACCATTCATCTTCTCATCATCTAGCAAATTCATCTCACTCATCATCCCTGCTCCTCCCGGCTCTTTTACTACCTTCTCATTTAAATCTCGAGTATCCACCTTGCTGGTAAAGTTAGTTTGCATCTTACGCCGTTCTTCTCCGTCCCTCCTTCCCAGGCCCACCCTTCGCAGACGCAGAGCGTCTGCTGGCTGGACTGACGGTCGGCGACGGAGGTCTCTGAGGCAGCTCAGTCCTATCCTCGGCTTGGGGTGTCTCTGAACGGCCGGCTCAGCTCCTCTGCGGCGCTGCCCTGCAGGGAAAGCCGCTGGCAGCCCATCTCTCAGGGGTGCGAGTGGAAGAACCACACTGCAGCAGAGGTAACAGGCAGGGACCGCGGCCAAAGGGGGGTGGGGATAGGCGCGTCAGAAGGTAACGGGAGGACGGGGATCAAGAACGCGCCACACCACCTACGTCCCGCCTCCTTATCCTCCAAAAGCGGCCCCAGTTATCTCCCCGGATCCCGTCGGCGACTCCAGAAGTGACAGCCACGTGGACCGCGGGGGAATGGAATGTTGGCGTGGGGGGCGGGGCTGGAAGGGCGCCCGGGAGGTGAAGAGGGACCCGCGTACGCGCGCCCGGGCGCAGAGTGCCAGGCGACACCGCCGGGAGCGAGCACGCCCCTGACGTCACGCGCCGTTCGTCCAATGAGCACAGGCCGGAGGGAGTGCCGTTCCGCCCCCTCCGCCCCGCCGCCGCCGTCGCGGCAGCCGCGTCCCAGAGTGTCTGAGGAGTTGCGGGCCGCTGCGGGCTCGGGCGTCGCACCGCGTCTGCCGGAGCCGCCGAACGAGGCCCAGGGAGCCGCCTGCCCCAACCCCGCCGCCCGATGTCCTCAAGATGGAGGCAGCGGGGGCGGCGACGTGAAGAGAGCGGCGCTGTGGGCGCGGGAGCAGGGGCCCGGGCGGCCCGGGCGGAGGCGGTGCCGGGATGGGGCTGCTGCTCATGATTCTGGCGTCGGCCGTGCTGGGCTCCTTCCTCACGCTCCTCACCCAGTTCCTGCTGCTGTACCGCAAACAGCCCGAGCCGCCGCCGGACGAGGCGGCCCGCACGGGCGACGGCTTCCGCTACATCAAGCCGGTGCCGGGCCTGGCCCTGAGGGAGTACCTTTATGGCGGCGGCGGGGCTGAGGAGCCCTCCGGCGGGCCACCCGAGGGCGGCGCGACCCCGGCCCCGGCGCTCGAGACCCCCGCCCCGCCGACGCGGGAGACCTGCTACTTCCTCAACGCCACCATCCTGTTCCTGTTCAGGGAGCTGCGGGACACCGCACTGGCTCGTCGCTGGGTCACCAAGAAGATCAAGGTGGAGTTCGAGGAGCTGCTGCAGACCAAGACGGCCGGGCGCCTGCTGGAGGGGCTGAGCCTGCGGGACGTGTTCCTGGGCGAGACCGTGCCCTTCATCAAGACCATCCGCCTCCTGCGGCCGGTGGTGCCCTCGGCCAGCGGGGAGTCGGACGGCCCCGAGGGGGAGACCCTGCCCGCCACCTCCCCCGAGGAGCTGGCCTTCGAGGCGGAGGTGGAGTACAACGGGGGCTTCCACCTGGCCATCGACGTGGACCTGGTCTTCGGCAAGTCCGCCTACCTGTTCGTCAAGCTGTCCCGAGTCGTGGGGAGGCTGCGCTTCGTCCTCACGCGCGTGCCCTTCACCCACTGGTTCTTCTCCTTCGTGGAGGACCCGCTGATCGACTTTGAGGTGCGCTCCCAGTTTGAAGGGCGGCCTATGCCCCAGCTCACCTCCATCATCGTCAACCAGCTCAAGAAGATCATCAAGCGCAAGCACACTCTCCCGAGTTACAAGATCAGGTGAGAGGGAGGGAGGTGAGGGAATGACACCCCGCAGGCGCGGGGACCTAGCCGCCGGGGATCGGGCCTGGGCGGGGTGCTGCCGCCTGCGTGGAATGGGAAGGGCAGAGGCTCCTCCCCAGCCTTTGCTTTTCCAGGGATCTCCCCAACCCTGGCGGGACAGTACCCGGGGAGGGTTGCGAGTAGCGCACACATTCTTCGCTGCCAGAGGGCATCAGGATGAGCCAGAAGCCTTCTCGCGTGTTCGTGGGCACTCAGGGTGCTGTCCGCGTGGGTAGGAGCAGCATGATGAAAATGGCAGGGCGGCCGGCCCCCCTCGTCGGCTTTGGGACTGGTGAGAAACGGGCGCTGTGTGTGGTGGCGGCATTGAGGGCGGTGTTGCAGCATCACCTTGACCACGTTGAGAAATTGTTGCTGGACGCAAAGTACAGGCATGAGAAAGAAGTGTGGGTAGCCCGAGGCTGTTGTATTTCGCAACTGCAGGCCGCTCTTGCAGTTGGCGCTTTGGCAACTTTCAGGGCAGAGATGCAGTTTGCGTTGTAAAGGAATACTTCGCACAGCGAATTGAGAGCCAGCTGGGAGCCTGTACATGTGGTAGTTCTCTGTAGGTTTTGTGTTAATGTCATCTTCCCCCTCGGGGTAGGTTCTGTAGCACAGACCTAGATGCTGCCCTTCGTGTGTCAGCTCTGGCTGCGAGTTTCTCACGCGGTACCTGAGATCAGCCTGCAGGTGGAATGTTAACGATCCGTAGTGATTTCAACTTTTTAAAGCTCTCCGGTATGTGGTGGCTTCATTTTCACTTAGTATACTGTTTTGATTAATGGTCCAGGGTTTTTTGTTTTGGGGTGGCTTGTTTGTTTGTTTTTAATATCATAGAAGAAATGAAGGGGAAAGGAAGTTTTGTAGGGATGGGGCTTCATCTACTTTAGTCTGAATTGTTGGAGTGGAAAGGGTCATACATGGCTGTTTCTTCAAAATCAGCTGAATTTCTTAGGTCACTTTCTTCCTCTAATTTTCTGTTCATTAAAATGCTTGACTCTTGGATTTGTCCTTCCTTATAAAAGTGTGTCAGTCTTGTGTTTGCCTTACCTAGTGTCCTCTAGTTGCATATTTCTGGATCACTAATTTTCTACCAAAGTGTCAAACAACAGTGACCCAGATAATCCAGAGATATTTTATGTTTGGGGTCGTGATGGGTTATTGACTTGTGTATGTGGCAGATAGGCCTTCCTACTTATGTTTTGTTTAGGCTGATAGCATAGAGTGAAAGCTTAAAACTGTTGAGTGGCAGGAGAAATTTACTTTGTAATGGATATAGTTCCATAGATTTGCAGAGGGTGGTGAACTGGTTGTTCACTGTGTTTGATTTCCCATTCTGTGAAGAACAACATACTTTGCAAAACCTACGCTTCAAGCTTTGGAATGTAAGTGACTAAATTATAAATGAGTTCTGGTATCTAACCAGTAAGATGTTTATTTATAGTAACATGTTGCTAAGAAAGTAATGAGAAAAAATTACAGATTTTGGTATTCTGTTTTCTGGGTAACTTTCAGGTAATAAAATTTGAGTATGCTCTTATTTGGGGGGTTATTTGCAGAATTGATTATTCTGCAAAGAAGAATTAGGTGGCAATTAGGTTGGCTATCATTTTGAGGGTTCTTGGTTTGTTTGTTTTTTTAAATGTAGATTTGGAATTCAGTTAAATCTGAAGGAAATTATGAATAGCAGGTGTGGAGACATTAGTGGGTTTTATTGCTTTCATTTACTATGTCCGAAGAGATTTTTTAAAAACATAGCATGTGTCTGGTTATGTATGATAGTTCAAATTTTAAACCTTACACATTAAGCAGTCACCTCCAGAAATGTGCACGCTTGTGCTCTTTATATTAGAAGGCATTTCAGGTGGTAAATCAGTAAATACTAACAGAACTTACCACTTAATCTGCATATGTTTGTTGTACACCTGCTATGTGCTTATCATTGTTTAGGTGTTGGGGCTTCAGTACTGAACAGCCTCAACCATTGTGGAGCCTAAAGTTTAACGAGAACTGAATTAGCAGTACTTAATATGATTTAACTAGAATGTGATTGATTAATGGAAGGTTGAAGTAACTAGGCAGCTGATTTTAGGTAAGTAAAGGAAAATAATAGGAGTGTGAAGATGAAATGGGCTGCTCCAGGAAGTGTTGAGTTCTCTTGTCTATGTAGCTCTTTGCCAGAAATATTTTAAGCTACTGATGTTGTGGAGCGGATTCAGATTTCAGTTAAGAGAATGAATTAAAATACATTTAAGATGTATCACAATTCTCATAATGAGAATTAAAGTAGCTGTTGTTTACCCTTTTATATAGACGAGGGAGTAGTGCTCAGAGTAGTTAAATAACTTGCTTAAAGTCACACAGCTGTTATGTAGTGAATTCCAGCCCTGATAAAGCCAGAGCTACCTTTTTCCATTCAACTCTGTCACCTTGTTCTTAACGTTTTGTTTTTTGTTTTATAAAAGTACAGTATCAATATAACATAAATATATGGAGGTAACTTTACAAATCAACTGAGAACTCTGAGAAGAGTGTAACTAAAGATTTTTTTTCTTACATTGGAAATTTTGAGAGCGGATCCTTTAAAGGTTAAATCTTTGGGTGCTGCCCCACATTTCTTTTTTAATCCAGCAGATTTTGTTTCCAAATAGAAGGTCTGCTAGTTTATCGTCTTTAGCCATCTAATCTACTTAGAGCTAAAGCAGTAAAGAAATTTCTATTGAGTCCTAGGATCTTTTGGCACTTTAATTATTATATAACAGAAATACCTTGCCAGTTAACGTTGTTACTTCTCCCCACCCTTTATTTAATTTTCCATTTCATGTTGCTAAAGTGAAGGTGGCCTTGAGGAATGCCAGTTCCTGATGTCTCAGTCTAGAGATTCAAGGAGTTCAAGTGGTTGCTTTCTAAGGATTGTGATGATTAACTCTTCATTTTATCCAACTAACATAGTTTGTAAAACATTATAATATTTTTAAAAGAATTATAATGTTACACATTTCCCATATATTATAATTTAGTCTTACTAATATAATTCTAAGTTCATCTTCCTCAAATGTTGTTTTGAATTTTTTCCCTAAAATGTATACTTTAAAATAGTAAATTAAAGTACTAGTATTTGGGGGGGGTTACCAAGTTTTTTTTTTAATTAACCCAAAAATTAGTCTTAGGAAAGAAATATTACCACTAATATTTATGATTACATGAAATCTGAGTAATAGTCTGGGGAAGTTTAGAATTTGGGAGTCACCTACTTGAGATTCTTACTGATGCTTCTCTTCCTAGACTGTTATTGCTATGTTTTACCCCTGGTTGCATACTGAAAGGCCAAATTCTGTTTGCAGGTACTTTTTATTCGGCCTCATGGTATTTTTGTTTGTTTGTTTCGTAATTGCCAATACTTTAAAAGGGAATATTTTGCATGATTTTGGATTTCTGGCTTCTCTTAGAAGACATTGGATGATCTCGTTGCACCAGGCCTGCATTCCTTATAGCAATAACAGGTTGGAGAAATAGGTCTGGTAGCAGCTGCAGGAAGTTCTTATGCCTGGTTTATAGTCCCCACCTACTTGCTAATGGTACTTGTCTGGCCTGGCATCATATGAATTTGAGATCCTTCCTAAATAGGGAGTAATACTGTTGCTAATCAGTGAAAATGGGAAGTACTGGATAGTAAAGGGCGATAATTATTACCCTTCTTTAAACATTATTATCTTTCAAGGGACTTTCATTGAACAATTTTATTTTATAAAAGACTTTGATATAATGTTGAATTTTTTTTAAAAAATCATTCTACCTGAAGTTTTTAAAGAATCCTTCGAAACATTTTCCATTCTCTGCAGTATATTGGTAGTAAGTGCACAGTAGCTGTTTCTCAGTTGAGTGTGGTGGATTTTTGCTTTGATGTCAAGTGGGTCATTAACTATATACAAATACTTCTCTGATCTACAAATAAGGAGACATCTACTTGTTGATTTTTGAATTTGATGAATGCGTGTGGAACACATATTTGGGGGAAAACTTCACTCTTCAGGTTCATGGAATATCTTCTGAATATGGCTATTTTTGTCATAACTGTTCCTTTACTTGAAATTTTTTGAATATTCCTGCTGACTAGAGATCAAGGAGGACCACTGTCCCACCAAAGGCAAAGACTGGACTGTATTTAGTTAGGTAGAGCTTCTTAACATGTTTTTATTTACCTGTGTCTTCTCTAAGTATACCATTAATTTCAGAGAACTAAATTAGGCTTGGTCTGGAAAGCCTCATACTGTATAATGTGGTTTGTAATTGAATTATTTTTTCTTTGTCTTCTGAGATGAGGAAGAAAAACATTTACTCATACCATTAATTATAGCTTTCTCATTTTACTGATTATTTGAAGTAAAGTTTTTTTTTGGTGTTTTTTTTTTTTTGTTTTTTAAGATTTATTTGTTTTAGAGAGAGAGAGAGAGAGAGAGTGCAAGCACATATGTGGGAGGGGCAGAGGGAGAGGGAGAGAGAATCTCAACCAGACTCCGCTCTGAGTGTGAGCCCGACACAGGGCTTGATGGCAGGACCCTGAGATCATCATCTGAGCTGAAACCAAGAGTCAGATGCTTAACCGACTGCGCGGTTTGAGTAATCATGACTCAAAAACTTTCAAAGTGAATCTACTGACAGCTGACAAAATCATTTGTAAGTGTCCTGTAGTATATTTATTCACTTAACTCTTCCATACACTTTATGTGGACAACTCTTAAAGGGTGTCTTAGGTTGGAAAATATTTTAAAATAGCTTCCAAAATCCTTAGTGATTGTAGGAATTATAGTTTTACTTACTAACATCAGTAGGAAATATAACCTTTGATACTTTGGGAGAGTACAGACAGGGACATTATTATATCACTGTAGCTGTAATGGAGTAATGATGTGGTAGTAGCTAGTTTTTTAATCTGTTGTGCTTTGGTTTTCCTGCTTCTT